CATCATAATGTGCATTTATATTATAGCTCATCTTTTATCTTATTTGGATAGTATAAATAATGAGTCATATGTATTAGGCACTTGATGATTTCATCACAAGTATTGGAATAAAAGTTCTCTCTACTCTCTTGTCTTTGTTTACTTTATAATTTATCTTGTTATTTGCTCATATTTTAATATATATATATATATATATATATATATATATATATATATATATATATATATGTGTGTGTGTGTGTTTTTGGTATTAACCTGGTAGGTGTTGTAGATAGAGGCAATAAACCAAATACATTTATTATCATTTGAATTTTTAATAGCAAACAATTCATTATTGTTTACCATTTGGGTGTGCAAAATGTGTAGCCGCGCACAGGATCCCAAAAAAAATACTGGAATTTTGCAAAATTATGTAATTTATTATTTAATATATATTATCTTTTTCGACTGTAAACATAAAACTAATTGGGTTTGGATGGGAGATGACTTTTTGCAGCGCTTTCATTCACCCGATCAACTGATCTTCGATTCTTTTTATTTTACTTTTTCACTTCGTATATTGCTTAAATTAAATAATTTTTACTTATTTTTCACTTTCAGCCCTTCATTTATGCTCAATACTCAACAGACCGGCCCTGTAGATGTGCTAGTTTATGAGTTATATTTTATGTCAAAGAAAAAAAAAATAAGATTTCACCTGACTCACCGGATTGGCTGAATCAAAGTTGTTCCGGTCTGTTTCGGAAGTGCTCGTTTATCAAGTTATCAAAATTTAAGTTTATGAGTTTGACCAATATTTTATGACACAAACCAAACAAACAAATGACATGCATACATGCGTAATTATATATTGTGATATTTCCTTTTTATAGGAAACCATGCACACATTCTCTTTGACAATCTTTTTCGTCATAAATAATCAGTTTGACGAGGTCAATATATATAATTTCTATCTCATTAGCAAATAGAATCTTTTATATTTGATGGTGTTCAACACAAGAACATAGCACATAATTCATCATTGATAATAAATTATTCAAATTAGAAAACGAGTTAAGTTTATTTATAGTTTCTGCAATGAAATGAAATTCGTCTTAACAATGTCTACATAAATGAATATAACCCGTTGAATATATGAAAAAAAATGGTCAAACAAAATTCATCTTTTTCATGTGACTACTTGTTTTTCAAACAAGAAAACCATATATTATAAGAGACCCGTGAGATGCCAATGGTTAAAAACTCATCTGTAGGTTTATCAATCCAGTAATCTCATTCAAAGACACAAACTCGTTAAGGCCATGGGATATGGTCTTCACATCTAAGCCATGATGCCTAGTTGGAAGGTTGATCACGCAGTGTACATCATTGCCATAGGATTGTGATGCCTAAGTAGAGTGATGAATGGCGATGCCCTTCACACATTTAATGTAACTATTTTTTCACAAAAAAGATTTTTATAATTACTACCTTTCTACAACTTCTATTCACACATAATTAACCTAATTTTCTCTTAAACGCTGCCAAATTCTTAAAAATGAATCTAAATTTCAACATCGACCATCAAATCGAAATCATTTGCAAGTTCAAGAACCCAATTAAGATTCGAGAACCCTTTCATGCTAAACAACTTAGCACCACCTTTCTTTCTATTCGACTCGAATTCACCTTAACTTGGCTTTACCAACTTGGTCAATTCACCCCAACAATTTCATCCCAAAATGCAAATTTCCAAACCAAATTAGTCCCCAAAACCCAAATTGAACCATCGAGTTGATGTAAGATGTAATACCCGTATCAGCAGGTATATTTCTTTAACATAAAAATTGTGAAGCTTTGGTTTGGGGTGCTCTATGCGAGGCGCAGGAAGGTCTCCTACGCAAGGCATAGGGGCATAAGTGAATACATGACTGGATCACCGTACGCGGGGCGTAAGGCATGATACGCCCAACGTAGGCGCGTAATGAAGAAACCCTAATTTTCAGGGTTTTGAGCCATATTTAAATACTCTAACCCCTTGAGACCCTTCTTATCATCAGCCTCTACCCTCATTGATACCCAACTCAAAACCCTAATTCTCTTGTGCTAGATTTGAGCCTCTTATATGTTTTGTGGTACATTTTGAAGAAGGAAAAGCCCATCTTTGAAGCTTGGTGAAGCTCAAGATTGTAGATCCAAAGTCTTTATTTCATTTGCCAAATCCAGAAGGTAGAATGCTTTCACCTTGGTGGTTCATTAAGTTAGATATCGTATGGTTGATATCTTTTACCCATGGAAGAGTTTTTGACCATTGGAGAATTTTATCGGACTAAGGTTTTCCCTTGAGTTCCATTTAGCAAGGAAAAGGAATAAAGCTAGAGAATTTATCATTAAGAAGTTTATTAGGACAAGATATGAGCAATAGATGGTTGGTCTTTATGGATTAAGAGCTGAAAATGAAAAAGCACTTAACATCGTCCAACGCTAGCCATACAATGGGCTATGTTCACCTTAGCCTTTGCTATCCGTGACATTCTACTTAGCCCTTTACATGGGGCATAGAGGCATGGTGTACGCCCAACATAGCACTAGAAAGTGTATTTGGTCAAAATAGGACTTTTGGTCATGATAAGTGAGGTCTAGCCTTGGAAGGTTAAAATGGTCTTTTACCCTAGAAAGATATAATGTAATTAGGAACCTTGATTATGGTTTACCACCCCAATTGTTAATTAGTGTTTGGTTTTGGATATGTTTAGTAAGAGTGATTTTAGCGCTGGCAGCTCATGTGTGAGATGTATTTGTTTACCGATCGAGGTGAGTCTTCTCACTGTACTGTAGGACACTAGGTGTCATTATGTGCTTGTTGTAGGTAAGTTGTAGGTAAAATGGTAAAATGGTTGTAGGTAAAATGATTTGCCTACGGATTACCTACACAAAAAGCTCCATAGGAATATAGCTCGTGGGTAATTGGTTTTAACAGATTCCCTACAGAATTTCCTACAGACTACCTACGAAATTTTATGTAGGGAATTTTCCTACGGATTGCCTACAACTCTAGCCACCTACGTATTAGTTATGAAAGTTATTTTACTACAAGTTACCTATGAAACTTTTATCTACAGATTACCTACAAAATTTTAGCTACGGATTACCTATAATAAATATTACCTACAAATTTCCTACAAAAAAATATTACCTACAGATATCCTTGAATAAATATTACATATTGATTCCCTACGATTTTTCCAATTATTTGTGACAGATTTATCTGTCGCAAATCCATACCTAAAATGATTTCCTTTAAATAAAAAATAAAAAAAAAACAAAAAAAAATTGAAAAATATTCATGTTTTTTCTACCTAAAATACAGAAAAACCAATAATACATTACAAATGCAGAAAAAACTCATTACATTCATATTCAACTAGTCAAAATTAGATGTCATTAACATTCATAAAAAGCTAGGAACTATCTAGCAGGTTACCGGCCAAAATAAAATGTCACTAACATTCACAAAAAGCTAGAAACTATCTAGCGGATTACCGACCAAAATAAAATGTCACCAACATTCACAAAAAGCTAGGAACTATCTAGCGGATTACCAGATGGGTTGTTTATAGTCTAAAACATTTCTAATGTTTAACATTTATAAAACTAGGAACTATTAGGTGGATTACCCGATATGTTCAACTTTCTCAAAATGACCGCAACTTGTTCTTCTAATTGAGTGTGTCGCACATCCATTTCAGATTGTCTTATTTGAAATCGTGCATCCATTTAAGCTTATCTTTCTTTCAATTGCATATCCAATTTAGCTTGCATCTCGATTTGCATGGTTTCCATTTTCTCTCTCAACCTTAGCACCTAAAAATGGTAAGAACATTAAAATCAGCAAGTCAACTTCACTTTTAAACCATAATAGCAATGCACTTTACTTTTAGTTCATCATAAGAAAATATAAGCAATGTAATCAATAATACCAACATACTTTATTTTATATCAACAACCCATAATAGCAATATACTTTACCTTATAATATCTATAATAACAACATACTATAGTATTCATCCATAATAAGCAATACATTTCAATCCGACCACCCATCATAGCAACATACTTTATTTTCATCCATTTACTATCCATAATGGCAACGACATATTTTTATTTTTCTCTATAAAACATAATGCATTTATCAAATAAGTATACCTCTTGTTGTGATTGTTCAGTCGAGGAAGAGGTAGACCCAAAAGAATATGTACCACTTACAACAAAATGAAGATTAGATGATCCAATCCCATAGATGCGACCTTTGCTTTTCCCTCCCTGTCCCTACATCTGTGTGGCGGCCCACAACTTAGGATCATTAGTTATTTGTTGAGTCAAATCGTCTCCAAACTTCTCGACAAGTCCTCTCCTATGTGCCTCCTATAATTTATCAAAACAACGTCATTTTAATTGTATAGAAAACCAAAATATTCTATATGAAAATGACAAAAGATAACTTACATATGCTTGTTGTGCTATACTAGTGATATATTGCAATCCCTCACCATCTCCATTAAAATACTTTGCCTTCGACTCTGTTGTAAGATGTGTCTTCATAAACACATCAACCTAGTCTGGGTCTTTAACCATCAACTTTTTCTACATAAACGAAAATATAGTTGATGTAATTGGATCCAAGAGAAAACATATTAATAAAATTTATAATTATGATTACTTACTATCCACTTACGAGTCTCGCTGACTCCGATGCTGCCACCAGTATACGTAGTTGTCACCCCAGAATCAACAGAAGTGCTACGATTCCTCTTCCCGACAAGAGATTTTTTCTTCTATTCATCTATGTCCCAATACTGTAAAAAGAATATATATATATATATATATATATATATATATATATATATATATATATATATATATATATATATAAGCAACAAAAATAAACAATAATGAACTATATCACTTACAGCACACAAACGCCTCCACACGTCTTCATGTACGGGACGAGGAGCAAAATTCTAGAGGATCTTATATGAGTCATTAATTTCATGGATAGTATGCCCTGCTTTTCTTTCCATTCTTGCTGATGTTTTCTTAACATCCCCCATTCTGTCTCTAAAACGCTCTTTCAAAACATTCTCAAAACAATCGAAGATGTCACCTTCTTCTTGTGAATACAACCGATAACGAGTCTGCAAAAAAATAAGAAGTAAAGTTAATTTGAAAATTAAAATAGAAATAAGGATAAAATATACGAACAAATAATCAATATATTACCATAAAACGCGCAAACCATTGTTTGAAAACCTCATGTGGGATACTCTTGTATGTAGGCCAAGCACGATCCAAACAATCACATGCCATTTTTGCAATGTACCCATGTATAGAATGGTCTACAAAGCTAAAACATTTAAATAACTATATAAGTATAATCATAACATCAATAATCATAAATTTAAATAAAAAAAGACTAACCCCTTCCCATTTCGGTGGATCAACGGTAACTGAGAACCATGTGAATTTGCAACATTAGAGCCACCAGGCGTATCTTCAACATTCGAGTGGTGAGTTGTCTGCATGTTTATACCATAATCATCCTCCTGAGTGTAATAATTACCATCCTGCTCTTCGCCATGGCCGCCAATTATTTGAAGTCCGTGTGGGGTAACTTTACTAAACACCACCGCAAAATCTATTTGGGGATCAACGATGCCTAGATTAGGTAAAGTTGTCCGACTTCGGTGTAAGTTACAACCCATACTACCACCTCGATTAGAGTCGGGTGACGACACCACTCTATGCAAATTATCACCTGTATTTCCACCCATATTAGAGAAAGATGACTAACCTCGGTCTGACATGTTGCGTTTAATAAATCACAAAAAAAGGTCAGATGTATAATAAGAGATTGGCATGTACAAAACAAAAAAACAATGTTAATAATATTTGTATCATAAATTACAAATAAATTTCATAATCACAAATAAATTAAAGTGAACATTTCAATTAATTAATTGTAATAATTTGAAGTGCACAAAAATAAACAATGTTCCTAACATCACTCCTCATCATAATAGGTACCATCGTCATAATAAACAAGTTCATTTCCATTATCCTCTAGACATCTTCGTCTTCAAGTTGTTCCTCATATTGATCATGTTGAGATCATACGTTGTACTCATTAAATATTTCATCATAGGTATTTGTATTTAATGTTAGGAATAGACGGTCAATACGAGTTACTTCATTCAGTAATTCAAACCGCTCATCAATCTGAAATAACCCGTCTGCATCAATTTCATCTTGGATGACTTTAAATAACCCTCTTGGTTTTGTTTTGACAACCGCCCACAAATCTTTTGTTTCCCTTGTCATTACAGGGTATGGTGTATAAAATACTCGTGCCGGTTGTGATGCCAAGCAAAAAGGGTCGTCCGTTTGTAGTCGAGACTTGTATTTGACATCAACCATCTTATTATCGTTAACGATTACACCGTTGTTGTTATCAAACCAAGTACATTTGAACAATACAATAGTCGAGGGTCCGATACCATAATAATTAATCTCTAGTATCTCATCCATTAAACCGTAGTAATCTGACTCTTGAGCATTATACATCTCCCCCCTCACGCATACCCCATAATTATTCATCACACTCACTTTACCATATTTTTTAGTGTGAAACTTATAACTATTTACAAGGTATCCGTTATGATACTCATCATACTGCTCTGGTTTTCGTACTAAGGCTTCTAGATATTTAGTACTTCCATCTGAGTATAGCCTTACCTACATTGAAGAACAATAACATATTGTGTTATATAATGATGCATTAATACTAATCACTACTATTGAACTAGTTTTACTTGCTAGTTTTACTTACTTTTTGCTCAAACCATTGAGCAACGTATTTATCTCTGAGGTTGGCAACTTGTTCGCCATGATACATTCGTGGAGCAAATTCATCAAACTCTTGGATGTAAAAGGGTAATTTCTACACAATTTAGTAAAATGTAGGTGTGCGCCTTGTGGTGTTCTTCATGAGTCATCCATTTTTGCTTTCCACCCTTTTCATATAACATTCTTGATGGTAAAGCAAACACACTTAATGGAGGTTGTACAATTAAAGAGTTGTGATGTTGCGGTGCAAAATTCCACGGATCTCGATTATGACGTGTCTGAATCGTAGGAGCAAAATATAAAGAACAATAGGCAGCGAGTTCATTCACTAGATGTTCATTGACTATTCAACCCTCAACCCTTGTTTTGTTTCTAATTCTTCTTTTTTTTAAGCCCAACTTCCTATATTTCAAAATTATCAAAAATGTGTTAGGAATACTAAAAAACTTATAAAACATTTGATAACATGTTAAACAGTGTGATTACCTCTCGTATTGATACATCCACCTATAATGTACCGGACCACCAACAATAACTTCATCAACTAAATGTAAGACCAGGTGTTCCATGGAATCAAAGCAACTAGGTGGGAATATTTTCTCTAACTTGCAGATCATTTGGAAAACACTGTGTTTCATGTCATATAAGTCCTCCATATGCAATGTTCTTGAGCATAATACGCAAAAGAACATGGACAACTCTGTAATGGCCTCATATATCATTTTTGGAACAAACCCTCTAACAGAAATTGAAAACAACCATTGCATAAATCTGTGATAGCCATCGTTTTTGAAGCTATAAAAACTACTATACTTGATGTTTACATAATTCCCTATGTTTAAAGCGTAGTCGTCTACCAACTTCAGTTTTTTCAACAAATCACAAACTAATTTAACATGGTCCTTTTCCAAAGTGTAATTTCCTTTCTTCATTCGAGCCATCCCATTTTTGTCCTTGATAGGGTTTAAAATAGGTCTATCACATAGAACCTCAATATCCTTCCTTGAATTCAATTTATCTTTGGATCTAGGGGTGTCAATGGAAGTGTGAAAGAAATTTTCAAACACATTTCTCTCTATATGCATCAAATCAAGGTTGTGTCTGATCACAAGTGACACCAATATGGAAGCTCCTAAAAGATTATCCTTTTTACCCAATTATGTGTAACTCTAAAAACAGATGTTTTTACATATTTTGGACCATATGGAGTACCTTGGTAAACAATGTTGAAATGTTTGATTGTCTCCCAAATTCCATCTCCGGTTGGGTATGAAATACGTCTTTCTTCTTTCGCTGTTTGGCTTTTCTTAAAATTAATATTATCACTTTTGAATGTGTTTCCTTTACGTAGTTATTATCTATGACAGTCAAACCAACACATTTTTTTTTTTTTGCTTCGTCGAGCCAGAATGATCCTGATTTATTCAAACAATATAGGCAAGCTAACTTACCATGCATACTCCATCCAGACAACATTCTATAAGCAGAGAATTCACTAATTGTCCATAGCAGTACTGCTCTAATCTAAAAATTGTCCCTTCGATGGGCATTATAAGTTTCAATACCACATGTGAACAACAACTTCAGCTCATCCACTATTGGTTGTAGAAAAGCATCCAAATTTTTTCCGGGACTCTTCTTCCTAGGAATTATCAAAGGAAGCATTATGTATTGATGTTTGAAGGACAACCAAGGAGGCATGTTATAAATTGTCATAAACACTGGTCAATTTGAATGAGACTCACATTTGAAATGTTTGGACTGAACGCATCAGTACACAACCCAAGATAGACATTGCGCGTCTCATGTGTAAAATCGAGATAGAGCCTTTCAAAATGACTCCATGCTCGACCTTCACTCAGATGTATCATCTTTTCAAGATCTACTTGATGATTTGAGTGCCAAGTCAAATGTTGAATTGTCTTCTTTAAATAAAAGAACCTTTGAAGTCTCAGTCTAATTGGCATATAAGTAATGACTATATTAGGAACCTTGCCACCAATTTTTGTGTATCGACACTCATTACATACTAAACAAAGATCCAAATTAGAATGATGTTCATTGAGTAGCATGCAATGGTTTTTACACACATGGATTCGTTGTGAAGGTAACTTTAATAACATTAAAATTTTCTTTCTCTCGTAGAAGTTATGAGGAAGCTTTGCACCTATTGGTAGACTATCTTTGATTATTGGAAGGAGTCTAGCAAATGACGAGTCTAAAATATTACACTCAGATTTCCAATTCAATAATCTGGTAGTGTTAGAGAGTGTGGAAGCTTTTAGAGACCTGTCCTACAATGGCTTGGTCTCTTGGTTCACCAGTTTAATGAAAGTTTGGGCTGATTGATTTGGGTGTTATGGTCCATGCTGATAATAAGGAACCTCAGGCCCGTACATGATTTCAATAACCATTTGTTGGTATCTAGGAAAATCACCAACATCATTATTAATTTCTTGATCCACGACTTGAGATGGTATTGGGTTGGAAGATTGACCAATTTCTTGTGTTGGATATAATTCACTGCCATATTGAATAATCCTTCACGAATCCAACATCGTATAGATGTTGTGCAACTATCTCTCTCATATTGTAATAACGATTTTTACATTTCCTACATGGACATCTAATATGAAAAACCTCCACCCCCTTTAATAATAGGTTTAATGTTTGTTGCATTGGTGTAAGCAAATTCAAAGAAATCATGGACATATTGTCCAAATCCAGGATTGAAACGACCATCCTTAGTGAGTCTCATTGTGTACATCCATTCTCTATTCCATGACATTTCATCTAGAGATAATTATTTAAAATTATTAAAACAAAAACTTAACAATACAATTTAACAACGTAACCATTTAACCACTTAACAATATAAATACTAATACATCAGTTGTTTTATCAATGCAACATCAATTTAGCAAATTATGATGACACCATAAATATCTACTTGTTGAACGAAGGTGTAACAAGGAACAAAAACTTACTATGTAACATATACACACTGGCACAACCATACATATACATACACCGATACAACATATTGAGGAATGTATCTTTCATGCTTGAACTCAACTATATTCTTATTTTTTGCTTGTTTTTTATATAGCTAGTAATGTTCTTATTATGTTTATTTCAAGTAATATGCTGTCTGGTACAAGTACAAACTGATACAACCATTTATATACATACATTGATACAAACTGATGTGAAATTGTACAAATTGATACATACAATATATCGATGTGAAATTGAGCATGTACATTGATACATACAACATACATACTTATACATACAACACACATATACCAAGTTGAAGTTTAAACAAACCCCTTAAATAATTTTCAAAGTTATGAACGACATACCTGATTACAAGTATCGATGGAGTAGATTGGGAGTAACCAGCGATAGTGGCGGCGAAGTGGGAGGAACCGGCGACAGCTGCGATGGTGGGAATGTGGAAGATATCGAAGAGAGTGGTAGTAAAGTGGAGCAACCGCTGGAAACTGAAATTTATCTAGGGTTCGTCAAATCGTGATTACAATTGTCGAGAAACAAAATTGAGGAGGGGCGGGGAGCGAATAATACATACGATTCCGATGGGCGTTGTAGCATTTAGTAAACGTGATTCTGGCAGCGGCGCTCCAAATCGATGTAGGGTTCGTCTTCTTCTTAAAGTTAGAGAAAAACGGGAACGGTAATGAGGAACGTGTTTGAGTACTGGCTTTTTTTGTTAGTAGTAGGTAATTACCTACGGATTTACTAAGAAAATTAAAATGTGATTTATTCACCTACATATTTCCAACAGAAATTAAAAATACAATTTATTTACACATAAATCTTTTAAAAAATAATTTTAAAATCTTTATAACATGTTTTTATCATAATATTATTAAAAGAAATACAAAATTTATTTACACATAAATCT